AGGTCGCTCGAATTCCAATCGTGTCCCAGTCTCGATTACAGTTTTCATTTCAATACTCCATATATACAGATCATTTCTACGTAATTACTCAATTAAAGTATCTCGAATCACTGCATCGTACGGAGATTTTTTGCTTCCGAGTGGAAGCTTTGTAATCGTTGACATTTAGGTTTTGGATTTTTTGCGTTAATCGATCTAGTATGATTCAACAAGTCCGAAAATGCAGTTTTTATGAATGTTTTGAAATGAATAGTTTTTTTAATTTTCCAATTTTTCCGAAAATCGCCTGTCCCACGATAACTAAAAATTTTTCTGAATTGATTGAATGGTGGCTTGAAAAATTTGCAAAAATTTTGTATTTTTTGAAAATTAGAATTCCGGGGATATCTTTGAATATCATGCTTCAAATGAATTCAATCCTAGCTTAAAATGTTTGTTTTAATGCCATTAAATCGAAGTTAGAAGATGTTTACGACAGCTATATTGGTTGATTTGATTTTTATGATGATTGTTGAAAATTTTGAATTTTTCATGAATTTCCCGGAAAGTGAGCTTTCTGATGATTTCTTCAAATGTAATGTTTCAAATTCATTCAAGTATGTAATATAAATAAAAATTTTCTATTAATATTTTATCGAAGGGGTGAGGGGAGAGATAGAACTGTAAAAAAGACAATCGATTATATAGAAGAAAGGGATAATAAGAATAATGATGATGATAACATTCAACTAAGTTGAAAATCTGACAAAATTAGTTGAAAAGAAATTTTATTGAATTTAATAAAATGAAATAAACAATGAATTATACGTGATAGAAGGAAATTATGTGCAAAATAACCATTCGGGAGCATATTGCTAAAATGTTAGAAAAAATGGCTATAATATAGCAATACAAGAGCAATTTCCCACTTGTTTCATACAAACACAAAGAAAAATCATTTATAAATTTGAATAAAAGCTTCATCACGAGCTATTTAAATAAATCTTTTTACTCAATTCACATAAACAAGCTCTTTAGGTGTCGCGGAATTTACGTCTGAAATTCTGGCATAACATGATCGCCAAAACCTGAGAAACCCTTCTTTATCTTAAAAAAATGTTTAAAAAATATATATTTTCCGCAACAACCGATTGAATTTCCTCATAGAAAAACATTCGGTCACTCAGCTGGTCAACTACCCGCAAGGTCATAGACTCGCCTGGGGTGGGGGGAATAGCGCGCACGTGCCAAACATCTTTTCCGAGTCTCGAAAGATGACGAATGACTCTCCGACGTGCACTTCAATCCGAGAAAACGAGTGGATAATTGCACTCGTTTTTTGAAAATTAAAAAAATGATTTTTTAAAAATGATTATACTTATTGTTTCTAACAAATTGGCAATATGCTTCCGAATGGATTTTCTTTTTTTTATCGTTATTTTACATCGCTTCAACCCGGTAAGGGTATATTGCCATGATGATCAAGACTTTCATTCTACCCGGCCGGGATTTGAACTCGGAACCTTTCCCATGTGATGCAAGAATGGATTTTCTGTTTTTGAAATTCTTAGTTGCACTACTCCTTTTCGTCATTTGTCCTGTTATAGAATTACTACTGTCATTGATTGAAACGTTATCAGATTTTTGACGAACTAGGGTATCTTGCGCACTATAAATATTCCCATCGGGTCGTATAGTTTTTTTCATTGCTCAAGCCNCGCCTTCGGCGGCCTCGTCTCCGACTCACGTGCCTCGTGCGCCTGTACTCCACCAGCGTTGAATTCAGCACTTCTCCGCCTTAGCACGTAATATACTATTTTTTTTCAATAAAAAATAGTCATTCCCAGGGTTGGGCGTGCAAATTACGTTGGTAAATTACACCGTTTTTTACCGACGTAATTTACATAAATTACCTCGACGGGTTTTTTACATTTTTTACATTCCTTCGAAAAGCTTGCAATTTTCGATTACTAGAATGTTTTATTTTATTCCGAGTGACGAAGACGCAGTATTGGACACATAAAAAATAGTATATTATGGCCCAAAGACAGATAAACAGCGAATTTTAATTTCACTTTGTTCGGTTAGAATGCGGTTCTCGGTACTTGAGGTATAAATATATCATTTTATGTCCCTAGGATCGTAAAACTGCGATTCTAACATCGATTTCCTCGGTTAAATCGCGGTTTTCGGGCCCAGACATTGAATATTGTATGCTACACGGCCATAAAATTATTTCCTAACTCGAGTGATTAAAATCCTCGATTCGCGGCATTTTACGAAACTCAAAAACATGAGCCTCATACCTCGTAAAGAGTAAATTTCACGAGGATCAAACGTTGCAAAAGACCAATGTCACAAGTCATCTCCATTGTGAGAAAGTCTCATCTCATTACCTATTGAGCTTTATTGGATTTTCCGCTTTATTATCTGGAGCCTGGGAAAAGCCCAGTTGGACCCTGAAAAGAACCATTTTGCCTGAAGAGTTCAAAAAAGCTACCAAAGACAATTGAATTAGTTTTGTCATTTAAGAATGCTGAATGAAACAAGATAATGTCAAGACGCAAGATGATGACGCAACGAATTCAATAGAGATCAATAAATAATGAGATTGACCCTTGTAAAATTCATCCCTTACCTGACCCTCGTGGTTTATCACCCTTGTGAGGTATAATCTTCGCGAAGCTTCACGGTTTACGATAAAAGGTAACGTCGGTTGGTTTTTTACATTTTTTACATTTATTACGTAAATTACGCGTTTTTTACAATGTCATGTAAAAATCTGCTCACTTCGATCGCCGTCTGCTCACTTCGATCGCTAACCCCCATATGACCCCCGTAATCCTTATTCGGAACCTTAACTTTGGAGTCTTAATTTCGAGGACCAAATTTTTATGACCAGAAGTCGATTTGGATTTTTATAATATATACTGATAGACTGATTGATTTATTCCAAACGAGATTCGTTAACTATTAACGAATGATAGAGTTGAATAAGACCAAATGAATATTTGTTAATAGTTAACGAATGGCTCACTTGAAAGGTAAAAATTCGAATCAAACAAGCCTCCTCAAATATACATTTGTTAACTATTAACGAATGATCATTCGGTGAGACCGAATAGACCCTCACGTATGAAAAAATCGTATAGAAATTTTCTACACGGATTGCGTATAGAAATTCTATAGGATTTCCGTACATGATATTCGGATATTTCTATACGAATATTTTCTATACGAATTATTTCAATACATAAATTTTTACATAAATTGTTGTTTTCATACGAAAGATGTCTATACTTTCCAGAGAAAAACGTAGAGAAATGTCGCAACTCCATACGACATGTTTCAGTACATGTGGCAGTGGGTCGTATGGGATTTTTTTTTTATTGGTAATTATCAACCCAAAGGGCTATTTACAAAAATAAATTTCATACAGAGTACAAAGAATAACGGGATATGGGTGTAAATAACATTTGATTGATCAGTTGTCAGGTTGTCGTTCTACCATCAGATTCTTATTCTATTCTTTTTAACAAATTGATGAATAATCTTTAGTGGTTCTAGGTCCCTTGCAATCAGGAATGCCGCTATGGTGAACGGCCTGGGGGTCGTATGGGATCAAACCGATAGTAATCGTATAGAAATAATCTGTATAGAAAATATCCGTATAGAAATATCCGAATATCATATACGAAAATCCTATATAAATTCTATACGCAATCCGTATAGAAAATTTCTATACGATTTTTTCATACGAGCTCGTCTACAACCAAATCCATCCGTTAACAATAAATAATCCTTCCTATCAGTGTAGGGAGATATTACGGAGATTTTTTCAGAGATCTTTTAAAAATTGATTTTTGAAAAATATAAAATTTTCTAAATTTTAGGACAAATTGAGTTCTGATTATTTCATTGAAGTCTATATATAGGAAATCAAACCAGGAAATTCGCTGGATCTCCTGTAAAAAATATTAGAAAAAAGGAAAAAAAACACATACATACAGATAATTTAATTGATATTGCCGATGATTTTTTCAGTTATCATGAAAACTAAATTTTTGAAGAAAAAAATTCATAAACACTATCCTGTGAGAAAGATCGTTTTCAACTATGATTCTTTCAGAGGTCATTGAAAAATCATCTTTAAAAAAATTTCAAATTTTTCTCAATTTTATGACCAATTGAGTTTTAATTAGTTAATTGACGTCCATATTGACGTCCATAGGAAAAAATCGTGAAATTCGATGAATCTCCGATGAAAAAATTTTTTTGAAAATGAAAAAAAAACAGGAGAGAGTGGGGAAAAGTCGAACAGTCAAAAAAACGACAGTTTGACGCAATTCAAGCAAAAACAATTTTTTATTAAAATTTTTTTTGTCAACTTTTTTTATTCTTGCGAGTACTGATGAGAATAATTTTCCATTCAGTACAATGGAAAATTATTGAGAAGTTTCGACGGGCGAAGATTTTGTCAATTAATTGAAAAGAACATGAAACAGCAAAATCCAAAGTCCAGACCAAGGCCCAGGGGGAGACCCAGAGGGGGAAAAAGAAAAATGTGATACTGATGAGTTTCAATCGAATAATCCACTGACAAAGTCTTCACCCATCAAAACTCCTCAATAATTTTCCATTCTACTGACTGAAAAATTATTATTCTCATCAGTACCCCCAAGAATAAAAGAAAGTTGAAAAAAAAAATCTCATTAAAAAAATTTTTTGCTTAAATCGCTTCAAACAGCCGTTTTTTACCGTTTCATTTTGCCCCACTCTCCCCCACACACAGATACCATAAAAAAGTCGCGTATTCGGACTTTTGAGCCCATATTTCGTTACCCTGACACAGAAACCCGGGCCCATAAATTTGAACGAGCGCAAAAAAAATCAAACATAAACATAATTACAATTTGTTTGCAATGATCGTTGAGTCCACTTGACGTCGACGTCTCTCAGATCCTCGAGCACCCTCC